GGTACCTGAATGTCAATCGAGTTGTTGCTCCGGTGTTCCCGTCTTCCCATTCCGATTCTCCCGGAGCTCGCTGATCACGGATTCCAGATTTTCTGTTAAGTATCGTTTCCTAACTGTACTTAGTATACTTAGCAAGTCGAGGACGAGTTGTGTAGCGCGGTAGAGCTGTATCAAAGTATACATACTTTAAATTAAAATAAGTGACTACAAATGATTTCTCTCTCCTAGGTCATGACCTGACCTCCCGACGTGGGAAAGCTCGATGTCCCAACGGTCGCCGGGATGTGTACTTGGCAACTACTTACATCTCCAGGATATATTCTCGTTATTTTGTCCTGTAGAGACAGACAAGCACAGGCAGAAACAGCGACGAGACAGAGACAAGACCTGCCAAGCTTCGGTGACCTCCTCTCTGTGCCGCCTGCGTGAGTTTTGTGATTGTGTTGACATATCCTTGTTTCTTCGTTAAGTGTATCTTTACATATTTGTGTTTTATGTACATTTCTCGTGTCCTTTGTATGATATATATCTTGTGCGATATAACCTTTGATTTATAATATATTGTTATATATTGACTCGTTCGTCTGTAATTTAACCTTTATATGTAAAGGGGTGAATTTCTCTCCTTACACACCCCTCACAACATATATATATATATATATATATATATATATATATATATATATATATATATATATATATATATATATATACAGCTTAAAGGAATCACGAAATTCTGCCAAGCTCAACTTACTTAACTTAATTGTATTTCTATTTCTTCATGTTGCAAGACTGAACCAAGCATGGCAGTCTATCTGTTTTGTCTCTTTGGATGTCTCTGCCTGTGGGCGTCTTCTGTACTGCCTTAAAAGTTAATCCAGTATTAAAGTTTAATCCAGATCTCTAGTGCGCATGCGCGTTGGCAGCGACCAGGATCAACTTTTAATACACCTCTGGACCAGGCTTTGATTTTAAGCTCATTTTTTAATCCTGCACATGCGTAGAAGGGACAAGTTAATCCCACCAATCATGTACTGTTACGTCACGTGTCCGTCATGAACTTCACGGATGCCATCGCTTCAGTTACCATTTAGAGTTATTTTCGGCAATAACATCGATCGTCAGAATTTTCATACTTGGTATTTATTATGAAAATGAAATTGTATATATTTACACAAATGATCAAATATTCTGATAAAGGAAATAACTTATGGTAATGCATATAAAAAACAATATAATCCCACGAGGAATCTTTGAAGTTCAGAGGCTGCGGGCATGGAACTCATATTTCCAGGTTAGTGAAACAAAAATTACATGGTCAAGATCACACAAGTTGACGTTTTAAATCAAATATGAACCAGTGTTTTAAAGAAGAATTAAGTGCTGAGTTTTTCTTAACTACTTTACTACAAAATTAATGTGTACTTTTCTATGGACCTCCTGAACAGCATCCAGAAGAAAACATGTTTCCCTCCTCCAACACGATTCAACGCAGCAAAGAGCTGTCCGAGGAAACTGCGTGATGGATATTAATTGGTGAATGTCATTTTTGTACTTGAGTGTCATTAAAATAAAGATTGGTTTTATAGCTGTTCGAGCAGTTTCGTTACCCATTTTACTACTATAAATATAAGATCGTTATCATGGAAAAATTAGAATATTTCATAAATATTCATGTTTCCTTATAAGTAAGCCTTCTTGCGCCTCGTAATAATCATATGAAGATCAAACTGCATCTTGAGTGACTGAATACAACTTTCTATAACAATCACCTTTTCTCCAATCTATGAAAAATGAATATCAGTTGTCAGAAAAAAATTGAACAATGCGGTGTCCGAATGCAAATTGCAAGGTTTATTTATCCAAGTAAATTTTATATCGGACTGCAAATCTTATGGTAATATCTTTAATACTGTCTTCTATATCATTTGCGTAGGGACATGAAGGGTGCATGTGGAATAGATATCTTTTGGATTATTTTTTTGCTTATTTACAGGTATGAGTACTTGACTTGCTCCAAACGCTACCCTACATAACATGCAACAGTTATGTGTGAAGAGCAACATTGCACAGAAATGTTTCAAAATATCAAAGATTGTTCAGCAATAAAAAGACAACATACCTCAGCTCCCACCCTTTAGATTTGTAAAACTTATTCCCACACGCCCAGAAATACGAGACCAGGATCTTCACATCAACAGCAGAGGGCAGAACCATCACTATATCACAGACCAGAAACATGACAAGAATTGATAGAAATTTAAAGAGACAGTCCATTAACTTAAGATTCCAAACAAATCATATTTGAAACAGATAATCTTGAAGAAATGTGTACAGAAAATAGAGGTACGAACTTTCTTACTTTGATATGATGCTAGTCTTAGTTTTCAATTTTGGGAACATTGGGAGGCATAAAGAATTGATTAATGATATGAATAAGTTTTTAATGCTTTGTCTTCAATCATATAGGTACGTCTGGGATGAAGGGAAGGAAAAGGTGGTCTTCAGAAGCATCTGAGAAGTTTATATAATTATTTACAGAACACTTTAAACAATTAGGAGGCAAAGCAGTGCAGAGATAAAAAAAACATAATTAGCATTATGAAAACATTATTAAGAGTCTTAGTTTCATGAAATACACATTAAATATAATAGATATTTTGAAACATAAAAGATATCTAAAATAGTTTCTTAAATACGATTACCAAAAACATTGACATTACAAAAAGATAGAAAGAAAAAAAATGAAATCTCCCAAAAGAGCGAATTTCACGCGCGAAATTTCTCTTCTCTCCGACATGTTTACATGAAAACGGTGGTGATAGCATAGTGAGTACGACAGTTTTTACTGAACATTATTGTCGCGCCGTCTGGCAGCGGAGAGTGTTGTCTTCGGTACGAACACGGTGGATTAGGATTAAACTAAATACGGTATTAAGAGTAAGGGACGGTACAGAAAACGCCCTATGCTTCGTCCTCTCTCTCTCTCTCTCTCTCTCTCTCTCTCTCTCTCTCTCTCTCTCTCTCTCTCTCTCTCTCTCTCTCTCTCTCTCTCTCTCTCTCTCTCTCTCTCTCTCTTTTGCTTCTTGATACAAAGAGAGTTAATTGAAACTTAGCCAATCAGTGAGCGTTAAGTGGTACTCTTACCATTATTGGTTTTCTAGTATCATTGAAATTCTCTGTTATGTTCCCCTTATATATCCTTTGAGGTAATGTAATATGAGGTTTACATACATCTACTCACTAATGATGGGATAATTTTCTGAATTGATAATTTGATAGAGCATTCATTTGTAAATCTAAAGGTTTTGGGAGCGATGCGAGCAGTTGCAGTAGTTATTCAATCATAATTTTATACACGAAGACTGTACATCATTATGGATCCCCAAAAATGTAAATAAAATTCTAATATATCTATGTTTATAAAGTGTCTGTTATACAATATATTTGATAATTCTATATTGTGGAATGCCCAGTGGGGTAAAGAGGGCACTCTTGCGCAAACTTACGCTTTTCTATGAGGCAATCTATGTCTAAAAATATATCAACCTTGTTAACAGCTCCAATTCACTCAGTCAATTTTAGAATTGACCATTATATGTGCTTTGGGTTTGAGGAAAATACTGGAATAATTATTGTGATGATTAAGGGTCATTTGGACACATTAATTATTTCAGATGATCTTTTGCACATATCTAAATGAATATAATATCTATCTATTGTCTTATGTGTCATCAGTTTTGTTATGTGATCATCAAATATGCAATTCTGTTAGCGCATTGATGGAATATGCAATTTCTAGTCTGTTAAATTTTACTTATGCCTTATCTGTTAGGGATCTGTTGATTCAAATATGGGGGAAGTAGCATTGATATGTGGCTGTTAACACTGAAAAGAAAAGAAAAAATATAGATGTACACACACACTATCAAAGCATACATGCTGATATAAAATACTTTTAATGGAAATCAAATACTGCAAACAATTTCTCTCTCCTAGGTCGCCGGAATGTGTACTTGGCAACTACCGACATATTGTGGAGACATGCCCGTTATTTTGTCCTCTAGAGGCAGGCAGAATCACAGACAAGAACGAGGGGGAAGGCAGAGACCAGACCTGTCGAGCTCCAGTGACATACCTCTCTGTGCCATCTGCGTGAGTATGATGATTGTGTTGACATATCCTTGTATCTTTTTTAAGAGTATCTTTACATATATGTATTGTATATACATTTCTCGTGTCCTTTATATGATATATTTGTGCGATATAACCTATGATTTATAATATATTGTTATATATTGACTCGTTCGTCTGGAATTTAACCCTTATATGTGAAGGGGTGAATTTCTCTCCTTACACACCCCTCACACGCAAAGGGTGTGTGAGGGAGAGGGAGAGAGAGGGGGGGGGGGAGTATTTCATTATTTTCAGATTACTCGTAACTGTTGTCTTGCAGGGCCTATCTAATTTACCTTAACAGGAGAAGTATATAGCATCTATTGCCTAAAAGTCTAAAACTTTTGGTTTTAGAAATTAAAGAGTATCACAGAAGTTAGTAAGCTCCACGGCTTACTTCAGGAGACTGGAAAGAAGTGTAAACAGTCTTTACATCTGGAAGGTCACCTGGCAGGAGAAAATCAGCATGATAGTGTACTGCTCCGAAAAGAGTGCATTCTCTGTGACAATATCAGTCACAGCCATGTCTGAAAATATGAAGCTACCCCTTGGAAAGGCATCAAAAGCAAGTTTTGAGGAAGAGTTAACAAGGAAAATGAAATAAAAAGACCTATTCGTGCATGTAATCAGGCAGGATTGAGAGCGGCCAGATACAATGAAGCAGTGGATAACCAAAGGTTCTGTAGCTCGTAGTCTGTTGGGAACTGTATGTTGATCAACCAAATACGGACGGTTTCCCAGCCCAGTATTATCAAGTCTCTAACCTCACGACAACCCGAAACACGGTGGCAGTCCCAGTGTCTCCAGAAGGTTGCATATCTTCC